CTACCAGGCTCTGCCTGCAATAGCTTTTCTCTGTGTTTTCACCTTTCAGTTCATGTCCTCGCTTTCCCTCTTTGTGACTCATGCGCTCACCGCCTCCCTTTCCCCCCTGAATCCAACAATAACTCAGCCACCTGTTTTTCCTGAGACTATTCAACCATGAGCAGGTAGCCACAGCCACTTTCTTCTTCAGCAGGTTGTTTCCTGGCTCCTCTACATGATATCCTAGTCTATTATACTTCTATAATGCATACTCAGGCCTTTCCCTGCTCTGTCTCTGGGTCGCTGTTCTGATCTTGCTTCTTCAATGCACTGATCCCCACATTTCGGGATTAAAAAGGGCATTCAAGGTACAGACTGCATTTGGGATTTTATGATCTCCCTACAGCCACAAAATTTGAGGCCAATCTGGGAGGTTCTCAGTAAGCCTGATAAATGATGCTGCATTAACCGAGCTTTACTAATGTTAGTGCAAACCAGCTTTGGATGGGAATCAAAACATGGGTCGCAACCTGGGCCTGGGCAGCTGCCGGTCGCACTGGAGTGCAAAGGAAGTCACAATTTGGAAATGGAAACGGGACGATCTTCCTGCATAAAAGGATAATGACGGGCTACTTTTACATGGAGCTTGTTCTTGTTTCATGGCACGCGGTGTTGCTGTCCGAGGGCCCCCGGACCTCACAGCTTCCCTGCGCCTGCCCGACCTGTGGGTAACTGGCATGTCTTTTCGCCTGCAGCCGGGTGAGGTGGGGAGGCAGAGAGGCTGACTGGACGTGCTGCGACCGCGTGCGAGGAGGGAGGAACAGAGCCGGCAGTCGGCACAACTCTGGTTAGAAGCCCCAAGGACGAGAGGGCGGCAGGGGGATGCCCAGTTGTTTCACATCTCCGGGGAGAGCCTGGAGCAGCTGTTCCCATTCACGGCCCTTCCTCGTGCAAAAGCTGCAAACCCGGATGACTTGTCACTGGGGGAAGCAATGCCTGGAAGCAACTGCAGAACAGGCCGCCCGAGCCAGGCACGTCCTGTCCCGACGCCGGCTGGGGCTGCCTCGCTAGCTGTCGATAAGAGACAAAGGACCACATGGACGGCTGTTGCCACGACGACGCAATTACATCCCAGTGTCAAATTTCCCTGCACGCAGAATTATTGTTATTTATACTGTGACGGAGGTGGGCCTTGCTCTCGACCGCTCCAAACGAGACGCCCCGGGCATCTGGATGCAACGCTCGTTAGTGAGGGGTCACGGCGCGCTCAGCCCCAGGGGAGAGGGGTCAGGAAGCGACCCTGGCCTCGTGAAAGCTCCCATCCTTTCTGTTTTAACGCCAGAGCCCGTCTGTGGCCCAGCAAGTTTCACACTTGTCCTCCTGCCACGTACCCTCCAGCATTAAACCAACAGGCGGATACGACCCTGCTCAGCGCCCTACGCTTCCTTTGGGAACAGCATGAGGAATACAGGGAGAGGCGCCAAGCCAAGTTCAATTCTTAGTGTACAACGTCATCCACCATCTCTGGTAGGAGCTTAAACGGCGAATCCTGGGTTCTGCGTGTGAGAGAGACCCGGACACTTGACTCAGGCTGCAGCAAGGGAAGTTGAGGTTGGATATTAGGAAAAATGTTCTCTCCAGGAGGGTGGTGAAGCACTGGGATGGGTTACCCACAGAGGTGGAGGACTCTCCATCCTTGGAGGTGTTGAAGACCCGGCTAGGCAAAGCCTTGGCTGGGATGATGTAGTTGGGGCTGGTCCTGCTCAGAGCAGGGGGTTGGAGTAGATGTGAACCCCTGCCCTGAGGTCCCTTCCAACCCTCGTTTTCTATGATTAGACAACTCGTTTACCTCCTTGTCAAAGAAGGAGCAGACACATGATGTACTGCCCTATGTCAGTGTAACTGGCTTCAATCTGGGAACTACTCGAATCAGAAAAGAAATCCGCGGTAAAATTAGTCCAACGTGAGTTGTACCAGCATAGCTGGTGTGAGTCCATGGCTGTGCGGGGGGTATGTTTGCTCAAGGTAAACAGGGTCATTGGGGCTACCACCTTGGGGTAAGACCAGCTACTCCAGCACAACTGCTTCTGTGTGTGCTCTGGACCACAAAGTAAACTCCCCCAGTGTAAATATGCCATGTGTCCTGGCTTGGAGGAGACACGTCCATTCACAAGGCCTGCATCCATAGTGAACTGCAGCAATATTTACTACAGTGAGAGCTCCAAGCTGCAAGGAGCAATGTTTACTGTAATGAGAGTTAATTTATAGTCAAGCTACTTTTCCTGCCCCACGTTAACAGGTTTGCCAGGATCGTAGCAACTCTGCCTTCCAGAGGCCATTCGCTCCACAAGCACTTGTGAAGCACATAGGGTGCATCTACATGTGCGCTTTAATGCACATTAGCCTATTTTAATGTGCATTAAAGCATCACAAAAAAACACGCACTTTTGCTAATGCACATTAAAATAAGCTAATGTGCCTTTTTCTAGTACCTCACAATCTCTGGGCATTTTTACATGCGTTTGAGACACAGCACCGGGTGCTTTTAATGAGCACGTTATGCTAATTAAAAGTGCCCGCATGTCACTTGTATCAGTGGCACTGCATGCCTCCATGCTAAGAAATGGCAGCAGCGCGCTTTGAACTAAAGCGCATCGAACACGGTTTAGTTCAAAGCACACCCCCGCCATTTTTTCAGCGTGGAGGCGCGGTGCGCCGCTGATACTCGTGATGTGTGAGGCTGCCAGAGCGCATCAATTTACATGCTCCTCCAGACTCGATTAATTGAGTCTCCTCCGATGCACTGGATTTCCAGTGTGTCGGAGCAGGCTCCCCGCATGTATGTAAGTGCCTGGAGGTACTAAATTTAATGCTCATTACCTAAAGCACGTTAATAAACGTGTAGATGTGCCCATAGGTACTGGCAGCAGTACCTGCACCTGACCAGCACTTGACCCTATTCAGAGGCCCGTGGTTCTGCATTTGAAATCAGCCATCATGAGTAAGTTGAGATTGTATTTCCTCTGACCTACAAGGCCTCAGGGAAACCTTCTTCTCTTTCCAGAAATACGACATTTCTTAATCTGTGCTCATTTTCCAGGTCAGCAGTCCCCTTTCTCAGTGCCTTCCAGTCTGCCAGCAGCAGTGTGCTGACGGCTACCATCTCCATGTCTCAGCCATCCCTCACCTCATACTGTAAGCAGTCATAGCCAGAATTGTACACCGCCTTTCCTGGGGAGCAAATCCTGATGATACTGTATTCACCAAAACTGTCGAAGCAATCACCAAGGGATACAGTGCTGGAAACAGGAGACAAACAATTGAAAGGACAGACTCAAAATAACCAGTTGGTGGCCACGGTCAGGTCAAGTCACCATTAGGATCATAGAAAAATAGAGCTAGAAGGACCCTCAGGAGGTCGCAGCTAGTACAACCTCTTTCTCAAAGCAGGATCATCCCTAAGCCATCCTAGGCAAGTGCTTGACTAACCCAGGGGTGCTCAACCCTTGGCCTATGGATTAGATTCAGCACCACTGGTCTAACCTGCTCTTAAAAACTTCCAGCAATGGAGGTTTCACCGCCTCTCTAGGTAGCCTACTCCAACGCTTCACCACCGTCACAGTGAGGAAGCTGTCCCTCATCGCTAACCTATTTTTCCCTTGAGACTGTTACTCCTTTTCCTGTCCCCTCCGGTCACCGTGACTTACACTGCATCTGGGCTCCTACTCCCCAACCCTCTGCACTGGAGCTGGAGTGCCCGCTGCTGCCTGTCTGCTCTTCCTCTGAACAGGATCTAAACTACAATAAAACTTGCACCCGATGCTATGAACAGTCCAGCTCCACTGTGGTTTGCAGCCTACGCAGCTAAATGAGAGGCATAAGATGCTGGGGAAGGGGTGTAATTGCCCACAAAAGCCTGAGTGACAAAAAAAAAAAAAAAAAAAAAAAAAAAAAAAGCACTGTGATTCTGAAGTTCAAAAACTCGAAAG